ACGAGTAAAGTTTGCAGAACTGCAACACTTTAGGTTGGAGCCGCATCCAAGAGTGAATTTTCAATCAAAAGGCTCACGGTTTAAGCAAAATATAAAAATCGGAAAAACAGTGCAACGTTGCCAGGCAAAAACCCCGAATTTCCTGGTCGTTTCCGGTGAAACGTCCTGAATGTAAGTTCCGAAAGTTCAAAATCCAAAAAAAAAATCTAAACCAAATTTCCGATTGTTTACGTTGGAGGAACCAAAAGCGAGGTTGCCAGTCCGTTTTGGAGGCCAGTGGAGGCTTGTGGGGAGCCTTGGGGATAGAAAAGCCCCTTAGAGTCAACCGGGGTTTCGCAAAAATTTTCAAGAAATTTGAGGTTGAAAATTTCAGTGTCGAAGACAACTTTGGTGCCTCAACTGTCCATAGTTTTGCCCATAACTCTGTCAGTTTTATACTTTTTTGAAAAATTCAAAAAGCGTTTTAGGGGCCATTAGACCGTGCAAGCGACGCATAGGCTGGATTTAGCCCAGATAAAAAAATGCGTAGGATTTTTTGAGTTTTATTGGGACATCAACAATTTGAAATTTTTTTGTTTGTGCAACTGAGAACATGGCAGTTTTACACATAAATTGAAAAACTAAAAAAATTTAAAGTACCCCAGACAACTCGGGGGACCAGTAGGCACAAAAAAGGTCTCTAGCCGAATCCCCGATATCCGACTTCTTTGGCCAGTAAATTGGGGCTCAACATTTGGAAGTTGCAATGTGGGCTTTCGCCGCTCCGCTCGGCCATTTTGGGCCATAACTTCGGCCCCAACTGTCCTTTTGCGAAACTGTAAAAAGCATTTTGTAGAGAATTCATCGCGTCACACCGTCCAACGCCCGGCAAAATTCCCCGAAGTTTCCCCAATTTTTTAACGAGGCTCCACAAGTTGTCTAGTCAGGGGCTTCGCCCCAATTAGCGCCCGCATCGAACGATTGGCTCTGCACATCAAGGGATATTCAGTATCCATTCGGGAACACGCAAAAGCTTTGCTAACAGGCTTTGCCGCTTCCCAACTAAGATTAAACCAGGCCATTGAGGTTTTAAGCTGATTTATAAACATCGGCGTGTCACACGCTAATCAGTTATGAACGGCCCGAACAATCGACATGGAGAACGCAATTTGGCAAAACTGAACGGGAAAAACTCGATTTTGGCCCAAAATTTTAATTGCCGCCGGCGATATTTGCAAAGCCGCTCGACCTTAATTGTTTCGCCTCGAAAGCGGCCCTTTTTTGAATAAAGACGCAATATTTCTGGCGAATTTCGGCCCTTTTATTTGAACACTTCATGAGCCGGATTAGACGCTAACGAGCTGCTATTGCTGCGACAAAAACGCTCTTTCAGTTTCCTAATGGCAATTTGGCTGAAAGGGTTCGCGTCGTCGTCCTTAATGAATTTTTCATCGATATGTTGCGTAACGTTCAAGCACGCACTAAATCAATAGGAGGAACTTTTTCGGCTGGCAATATTTCCCCAATTCTCCTGCCAACTTGCACGATGTGGCACCAGTGCATCGTCCAGTCGAGTTGCAGATGTTCGTCTGCAGTGGATTTTTCGAGGTAATTTGATTTTGTCCGACCTGCATCGAGTCGTCGTTGTCGTGTTTTTGCGGATTTTATTTTTCCTTGATGATTTCCTTGAGTGGAACTGGAAACATCCAGTGGGCTCTGGATGTTTTGTGCTTGATTTTCCGGCCATTTGAGGCGAAATTTTGACGCAATCCGGGCTTTTGTTTTCGCCAATGGCCTGATTGTTAACGCAGTTGTAAATGGGGAAACTTTGCCCATTTTTATCGGCGCGCTGTTGCCAGATCCTCTACGGATTTTTCCGGGGTCTCCCGAAGGTTTTTTGAGGACTTTTCGCTAGCGACTTCAGCCTGCAAAGCCCCAGTTGGGGCGTTTGGGGGCAGTGAACATTCTGCGACAGCTTTAGGGTGATTGGAGTGGAAACACTGCTGTCACTCAATTGGTGAGCCGCAAAAAAAAACTTTGACACCTTCATGGGCTTCGGGGGCATATGGGGAACAATTCCGGTAACCACGTGCATAACCTCAAATCGCCCGGTTGGGGAGTTTTCGCACAATGAACCAGCACATGACTGGTTTGGAGTAGTTGTTTGCAGTTGACTGCGCCAAATTTCCAGGATTTGCACGGTTTGCCAGTTTTGGGGGCCTGTGGGGCTTTGGGGTGTTCTCACACCCATTTTGGGTGCCCAAAGGCTTTTTCCCATCTGGTGCCGTTGAGGAGTTATGGGCAAGTGAACATTTTGAGACAGCATCAGTGAGCTTGAAGTGCAAACACTTGCATAAAGTGGGTTGTTGCGCCGGCAACATGGGGTTGTGGTATGTTTTTGGACTTCTTGGAAAATTGTGAAGCTCTTTTGTCCCAATGGGCTTTTAGCGACGTTGCACGGTTTACACGTTAGACGCAAGTCAACATTTAGAAGCTGCTTTCATGGTCTGCCAATGTAAAGATCTCAAAAAATTTACAAAATTGACCGGAAATATGGCGTTGTGGCACATTTTGGCAATCCTCGCCATACTAGGCACCTTTCATGTCCCAACCAGGAGTTTAGCAAAATGGACAGTTCCAGAGTTTCAGGACAGTTAAAGTTTCATGACTGCTTTCATCGTCTTGAAACGAAAACATCTTGAAAAATCTACTAAGGGGCCTTGTAATATTTAGTTGTGGCACACTGTTGTAATCCTTGTCAGCTTCTGAACATTTCATGTCCCCAGATGGTCTTTCGAAAAATGCACAGTTGTAGAGTTTCAGGACAGTTAACGTTTTATGACTGCTTTGACTGACCAAAAATGAAAACCTTTTGCAAAATCGACCGCATCGCCTGCGAATATTCAGTTGTGGCGCATTATTGTAATCCTCATGACATTCTGGTCATTTTATGTACCAAGACGCGCTTTCGAAAAATGGACAGTGTTAGAATTTCAGGACAGTAAACATTTTTTAACTTCTTTCATGGGTTTCAACTAAAAACACCCCCATAAACCAACTTCTCGGCCTGACAAGAGGGAGTTGTGGACTATTTTTGAACTCTTTAGCGAATTTGTAATATTTGTTGTACAAGCCAACCGTGCATAAAAATGGACACTTTTGGAGTTCCAGGACACTAAACATTTTATGACTGCTTTCATAAGCTTCAACTAAAAACACCTCCAAAAACCAACTTTTATGCCTGACCAGAGGGAGTTGCGGCCCATTTCTGAACTCCTTGGCGAATTTGCAATATTTAGTGTCCTAACCAACTGCTCAGAAAAATGGACACTTTTGGAGTTCCAGGACACTAAACATTTTATGA